TGTGTGTATATATATATATATATACATATAATATTATATTTAATATTTTATTTAGTAGAAAGAGACTGAGATAAACATATATGTATGTACGTGCATACATCTAATCTTGATACAAGCTTTCGAATCACATTTTCTATCTCTTGTGTCCATTATTCACAATGAATTATTTTCTTGTAACGGTGTTCCATTATCATTAGTTATTAATATTAGGTGTAGTAAAAAGAAATCCATTATTTTTCCATTTAATTTCATGCAAAAATAATGGATTTCTTTTTACTACACCTAATATATGCACATCCTTAATTTTAAAGCCATTTTAGTATCTTTACAGATAATAATAGGTATATCTTCCATACGTTAATCAAATTTCGTTTATCACATTTACTCTTTTAATCCACCTCGAAAGCGAGGTTCATAGAGTTGACTCCGAGGCAGATTTATTTTTGCAATGAATAGGCTCCGCCCATATGGTCAGTTATCTTGCGTTTTGGAACAGCGTAGTTATTCGGAGTCGAATTTTGAATATCCTGGAGATAGATTCTGTATCTTGAAATGAGATGAAAATTATAAATATGAGCGAATTTACTAGAATACTGATTATTTCATTAGTCAACATCTAATAAATTTGCTCGCTTTTGTAATTTTCACCTTGTTCGAAGATATAGAATCGACCTCCTGTGTCCTGAAACGAGGGGAACGATTCTGTATCTTGAAATGAAGTGAAAATTATAAAAGTGAATGAATTTACTAGAATACTAATTATTTCATTGGCCAACATCTAGTAAATTTACTCGCTTTTGTAATTTTCACCTTGTGTTTGAAGATATAGAATCGATCCCCAGAATACAAGATTTATTCGCGTCGCATACTCTACATACTCTAAAATGTTCCTACTATAACATTGGTTTCCATCAAGATTTAATCCGGATCAAAATATAAGAATCAACCAATTACAGTCGAGTATTCCTCTATTAGTCGAACTAGGCCATTTATTCACTTTAATGCGCTCGTTGAAATGAGTACAAGCTATAGTACATTGGAGCATGAAATATGCAACGTGAACAAACCTACAGTTTGCTCACCTAGCGATTGGTTCTTACTTATGAATCTAACCATTTACATTCAACCGCTCTATAAACAAGGTTAAATTCCAAAACCCATTGAAAAAAAATGTTGCAACTTTTCTGTGACCGACTGTACATTCTTCTAATTTACATCATGCACTTGACGGATACTAGTAACTTTCTACCGAATAATCTTAATTTCGACGCTGTGTAAACATATATACGATATATGTATTTAATTAATCATTTTGATATGCATATTTTGATTGTATATTATACCAATTTAGTACATCATTCTTTGAATAAATCACTGAAATGAAAATAATTTAATAGAAAGTTACTAGTTAGTACGTGATGGCACGATGTAAGCTGCCACTTCCTTCTTCCAAAGGCTCTGAACATTACGCTCCAAACTTTATGCTATTTAACTCCGATTGGTCCATTACTGTACTGAATTCTACAATTGCTATGTGAACGCTCCAGCCAACCCACCTCCTAAGGTGAGACAGTGACGATGACATATTGATAATGTAATCAGAGTTGCAGGGAGTGTTCCGAAGCATCAAATGAATCAATCAATGCCTAGTTTCCACTAAAGATTTTCTGATCAGAATATAAAAATCCTCGGTGGAAACTAGGTCAGTGCTACAAATGTTCTGTAGCGTTTGAAGCGCTAAGTGAATTGCAACCGTAAACTAGACAATTGGCTGTATTCAGCAGAAAAAGCAACATTGCAACTGTGTAAAATTCTTGAATGTGATTGGTTTATCTAGATAGATCCAGTGAGGAACTAAAGATAAGATCAATCATATTAAAAAATTTAACAACGGTTACAAAGCTGCTTTTTCTGCTGAACGCAGCCATTAGCCTAGTTTACATCGTGCACTTAATACACGTTCTAACTAGTAACTTATTATGAAATTATTTTCAATTTAACGATATATTCAAAGAAAGATGTACTAATTGGTACTAATTGGTATCAAAATGATTAATTAAATACACATATCATATATATATTTACATGTTTCGCCGAAATTAAGATCATTTAATAGAAAGTTATTAATTTGTACTTGCAGAGTTGAGTACGTATCAAACTCAACGTATTAAGATACATTTTCACGTACTGCTAAAATAAGCAATTTGAACGACAAATTTTCGTTATCCAGAGATTGAAATTTTGTTGTTTAAACAATTTCAACAACAAGCATCAAACGCTCAAACGCTATTGATAGTGCTAATACTGTATCTACTGTGTTGACTACATCGTTCACTACAATATACATAACGTAATTTATTTTTTTTTTATTGTTGATCCAGATAGAAGATTCTATGTGTGCATTCAGAATAATCTAAGTTTAATGTACTTATGTTATTTATATTATTTTTGATACATTTTCAATTAATAATACTTTAGAGTTTAAACGCTTTTAACCTTATTATTTTCGTGAATTTAGAGCTTCCTATCGTAGCTACCGCACATGAAATAATGAAATCACATATGTATATCCATTGACATGTAGTATTGGACGGAGTATGCGACGAAATCTCTTTAATCTTTCGTCTTGACGGATCTAGAAAGAGTAAGGTTAAGTGGGCACGGAACTCTCTATTCTTTTTACTCTTTCTATCTATTAATCAAATTATGTTTCAAGAGAAAGAGGAGTATATTCTTCACAGTAGTGTATTCTTTAAAGTCAGAAGCAATCACCAATATTGATTGGTATTAATGCAGTACGATAATTCTAAACTTATACTATTAATTAGTAGATATAAAAGAAAATATTGAAATATGGTTTCTACATATTTTGTGCAAAAATAACACTTTGAGAACAAATGTATTAACTTAATGCCTCAGGATCCTTGATTACATGATTTACTATTACCCCGATGAAAATGTAAAATCTGTCGAAGTGTCAAAGAAGTGTGAATAAGAATTTTAACGCTTCTTAAACATTTCATTGATTCTTAATGGTTTTGAATATTCATACACACTTCACGAACTATCCCCAAACGGTCCGTAAAGTATGCCCAAAACACATTTCTCACACGTTTTAAATTTTCTTTTCATTAACGTTTCTCATACGTTCCTCAACATTTCAAAAATGCATTGATGAACAAAGAATGCATTGATACACTTCTTAAACACTTCATTCATTAGTACTCATCTACGCTTTCTAAATGTTCAGCAAAAAATACACGGAGCATTCAAATTTGTTTTGTGTATGCTTCCAAGATATAGAGATAAAAAAATTTATTTTAAAACGGAATATCATTGAGTTGTACAACGAACATAAACGAAGCGTCGTTGAATAGAATGTGGCATCGCCACTAGAAGGACTTCGCCAGAACTTTTCGAATTTAAAAAACCGCACAGACTAGGATAAAAGACATAGAATCGAAAGATTTTTCAGTTGTGTTCTAATGAAATAATTTTTTGAAGTGAGTCCCCTAGCTCCAAGAAAAAAGCATAGCACTTTTTTTTAGATATTTACTAAATAAATGAAATATATTTTAAAATATCATTTGCTTACTAAAAAACTTCGATTACATTTCATTCACGTTCGTCTAAGAATCATCTAAGAAACGATGCTCTGTTTGCGTTCTCTAGACTGCTTAATCACGTTTCATTTCCATTCAACGAACATTCTGCTCGTGCTTGCCGAAGAACTTATCTATATTTTTATTTATGTTTCTTTAACGTTTAGTTGACATTTCCTTTACATTCCATGTTCCAATTTGCATAATGCATGGTTTAATGCATGGGCAGTATAGCAGTAATGGATTAAGGAGTAGACATAATTACAGTTGAATGTGAGAAAAATAATCATTAATGATCAATTTATGATTGGTCGATTTCTACTCCTTAATCAGCCTACTCCTTAATCAACTACTGTTACTGCTCATTGTAGACTATGCATTGTAGACTAATGCGTGGTCCACAATGACAGTATCAATAATGAATGAGACTATAAGAGTAAGAAATTGACCAATCACAGTTGATTATTTTTTTCATATTGTTACGTCCTGGGAAAGTTCGGCAGATGTTTCCCGATTTTCGAACTAACCCGAGAATCTAGGTTTAAAATTGTTTCGCGGTTTGCATCTCGAGA